TTATCTTTATCCACTTCTGTCTGCCCAGGCTGAGGTTGTATATCTAATAGACTCCGTAATAGAGGCCATAAGCCTAATTCATCAGGGCATTCTACAATACCCAAAACGACTTGTTCACGTGTGCTAGGCACCTTTGACTTCAAACGAGTAACCAATTGATTGATCTTAGCAGTAGCCTCCAGTGTTTGATAAGAAGGGGATACCCCCTTATGTAGAGATGCTTGATATTCCATCTTAGCAGCCTTCAATGCAGCTGCCTGTCTCTCTCGTGGAGTCAAGCCAGCCATGGGATCCATTGATGATGCTTTACCTCGACAAGTGCTACTAGTAGTAGTACTACCCACCTTACCACGGAATAGACCAGACCTTAGAGGAGGTGGTGCCTTAGCAAGCCGGCACTGAGGGCATGACAAGGGCATATCATAGGGAGCTGATACATTCTGTATTTGAGTGAACTTATGACCATATCGGCAACCATAACGTAAGGAGATCGTCCTGGCATCAGGAGGTACATCAAGGGCTGTCGTAAGCAACTTGAGGTTATTCTCTCGAGCCCTTGTAGCATGAGGTTCCAACAATGCTGCACACACTGGACAACGACATTGATCATTATTATCATCACGACCATTACGCCGATGATGCTTTGATGAGCCTTCATGACTACTACACTCGTCGCCAGTATTAGATGACCTCTGCCTATGATTAGTATCACTACTACCATCATCAACCCATTTATGTTTAACCGGGCACTCCTTAGTATGAACAGAGGCATGGCTACTGTTGATACGTTTATCTGCTAGATGGCCTTTAGGAGCGTACCGAGGGGCAAAGCTCTTATTACTACATCTGTCAATACCATGCTTTGTTTGACTAGAAGCCGTATGAGGATGACGATGTTGATGTAATGATGATGATGATGACCTTGTCGGGGGAGGTGGTCCCCCCCGCAAGCCTTGAGCACCGAATCGAGTAGACTGGACCAGGTTGATAGGCGCCGGCCGAGGGACTTTACGACTGGAAGCTGCCTTATCTGACGCTGATGCTGCTACGGTCGTATGCGAACGTCGCCTCTTCAAGGGTATTGAGTTGTTGTTGTTGTTGTTGTTGTTGTTGTTGTTGACGGTATCCCTCCCAAGTTTGGTAACCACCGTTGAGCCTCTACCATCTCCCCTACCACCCATACCTCGTTGGGCATCCTGACGATGATGAGTAGTGTTATCATTCGATCGGCGTGGAGAAGAGGCCGGAGATGTATGTCTCTGAGGTTCTACGTCAAGCCTCCATAGAATACCATTGCTGCCTATCTCAGGCCCCGGTGGCCGCCATCGACTATGGGTAGTTGGGGGTAGATGCAAGTCAGCACTCCACCGGAATACTGGTAGCTGCTTTTGTGGTGGTCGAGAGTGACCTAGTGGTGAGGAGTTAGATCGGATGGAGGAGGATGGCATTGGAGAGGTAGTAGGACCAGTCGTGGCTGCTCTAGCCATGAACAATGTCGAAGGGGCCGACTGCTGCTGCTGATGCTGATGCTGTTGTCCCTGGATTGGGTACATGTAATAAACTGAAGACGAATAGAGGATAGTAAAGTAACGAAAGACTACAATGGAGAGATGATAAGTTCAAATAGGAGTGGTAGCATGTCCAAATACACACATGATGATAATGATGCTACCCGTCTTGCTCCACTACGTTCTCTATAAGGGCTCCTGGAGGATTGAATGGTGATGGACAATAATGATGCATACCTTCGTCCTCCTCTTTCAACTCTTTCACATTTCCCTCTTGCACTACCGCATCAGCATCATCGACACATTGGGACCCCAGGACGCTGTTGACGTGATTCCCGTCATAATGCAGCGATGTGTTGCTGGTAACATGCTCACAATCATCATCATGGTGGTGGTGGCTGCGGGAACCCTTAAGGTAGTTAGCAATCCAGACTAATGGATCGAAGGCATCGACCGGTCGTCGCTCCTCCCCGTCTACAACCGCTCTCCCTCCATCATCAACTGATGACATAACAGAATGATGAGGAGCATCAGGTAGCCCCAACATACTCCCATGCCCTCTGTTACTGCTACGACGAACCACCGAGGCGGCGTCTAGTCTCCCATCGCTGGGGCGCTTAAGAGAAGGTTTCTTCTGCGTGAGGCTGCGTCTAGCACTACGCTCTGTATGCTGAGTGGGATGTCGTTGGCATATAGCTAATACATATACTACCTTCCTGCTCAACCAATAGGCCAAATGCCCATTATCTTTTACCTCTTCAAGTAGTGCCTCGATCGCTGGCAACAACGATGGTATCAATGACTCTCTAGCATACCTATAGGACATCATTGAACACTTTTACATAGGAATATCCCTACTTTCTGGCCTCTATATTATTATCAACTACTGGTGGTTGATATGGCGATGCATTAGTAGTATCAAGATGGATATAAGCCGCAGAGTCCATTGGTACAGCGGTGATAATGCAGGATACCCTACGAGGAGGTATTGAGGGGCGACTGCCTCACGTGGGACAAAACATATTCCCAAGGGTAGTGATATGGTTATGGTTGGTATGCAGCAGATAGTGTAACTATTAAGGATTGGCATGAGTAGCGTTATGAGCCATTAGAAGGTAATCATGCTTCCCTTATCATCATCATCTTATTAGAGCCTTCATCCTTAAGGAAGTCCAGGTCTGTAGCAACCCTTGTTCCGGCCAGTCATAGCATATGATCAATTACCGGCTACCTTCACTCTTTTCGCATTACTCTCCTCATCTCCTCTAACAACAGCTAGTAAGACTACCATTTGATCACCTTCACTCACTCATTGAGCGAATAGAGATACTCTAACTGCTGTCTTCTATCCAGGACTGTATTCACATTGCATAAGCAATGATGTCAACGGAGAACCCATAGTATGCTGCGTACACTGAAGACATGAGTAACCATAACAAGATAAGGAGCCGATGTCAAAGCCCCGGTAGTACCTTGTACTCCATATAAACATTAGCAGCAACGGCCCCAATGGTCCTAGATGATTCGTCATCCGATGAGACCCTACCCGCTGCCACCATCATACCACCATCAGTCGCTAGTCTGGTGCTATGGTATTACAGCATCGATGAGGAGAGTATAGCACTACTACAAGATATTCCTCTCCTCGTGGTCTGCCTCATTAACGAGAGTACGTCCTAGGGCATATGAAAGCTCTTTCGAACGGAACATTGACAGAAGGTAGAGCCAAAAAACTACGAGTGGAACATGCGAGTCGCTCACACTGTCATCACGAAGGAGAAGTCTGTCTATTGGGATGGACATAACAAGCTGACGAGACAAACTTGAGGATAGCGTGTGGAATTACTGATAATAGAAGCATCCTATACGGAGGCGAGATAGGAGGTAATCAATTTGTTCTTTACAACGAAGGCCATAATCTTCCTACCTCATCCTCACGGGACTAACTCTACCAAGAAGACCAGATCCTTCCATGAGCGGTAATGATTCTCGGTGTACTCATCGAGTGAAACCTCAATGACGACACAGATGAGGTCATCGTCGAAGTCATCCCGTCAGCGATCGACATGTATGGTATAGTTTGCCATCTCCTCACTATCGTATGCATCTTGGTTCATGGTTTCAACATCATGAGGTAAGAGCATGACGGCAGCATAGCGATCGTCAGGACCCATCCTCCCCCCTCTCTCAACCTTATCCAATTAACACCTACCATGTATACCCTGCTGCTCTATATCCACTAATGTCTTTTGTGATACATTAGTCTCTGATACACCCACAACCACCTCGAAGTCTAAAACAACCACTCTCTTTCCGAAAGCATCCCCACAATGATACTTCGTTTCAACTCTGTCTACAGCACCTCATCCCCACACCAACAATACTAATGCCGGTGAAGTCTAACTACCCTTGTAATGTCTCCCCTCCACTAAACCATAATACAAACACAACAGTACACTCTACTCCTCTACCGGTATCAAACGCTCTTATATCCCGAGACACGCGATATCGAATATTGCGATTCCAATTTACTCCTCATCCTCCGACTCGCTCTCGACGGAGGGCTGATAAGCGGCAGTAAGCTCCTTGTAGAAGGTCTTACCGACATTAGCGCTCTTCTTAGCCTGCTCAGCACGGGCACGGATAGCAGCAACCTTCTGAGCATGAGCCTGAGTACCCTCCTGCTGGGCCTGAGCACGCAGCTTAGCACGATGGAGAGCACCAGGGTTAAGCTTAGCCATCATCTGGCGGTTCTTAAGGGCATTCTTCTTCTGGCCAACACGGCGAGCAGGAGCAAGAGCAGGACGGCAGACAGCCTGAACCTCTTCAGAGTTGATGATCTTAGCCACATCAGCATTGGTCATCAATGGCCTGGGAAGCCTATAACCAGACTTCAAGGCAGCACCGGACCTGTAGGAACCGAAGAGCTGCTGAAGACGGTCGAAGGCGGGCTGAGTCCAGATGATGAATCTGCCGAAAGTGCCACCAGGAGCAACCTGCAAGAGG